ACCATGTGCAAGGAATTGAAGGCAATACGGTATGCTCATGATAAGGTCTAGTCAGCTGAAGCTACAAATGCCTCTATATTATAGGGAGGCCGGTCGAGAATGGAGGTTGTTAAAGAGTGGACGTCACTTCCGCGATACATAACATTAAGCAGACCAATTATGAAGGAGAGCGGGTGAAAATTTCAGATGGTGCTTGCAAAAATGTGATCAATTAACCTAATGTTGTCTGCAAAAAAAAGTTCCAAACTCTCATTATAGGTCGTTCCAAGGCGAATGGAGTCCTGTGGAAAATCATGAATGAAGAAAATCAAAGGAATCTTCCACAGAAAGACTGCTAATCCCTCATCCCCCACGCCGCTAACAGTTGTGGAAGTTTTACAGCGGGAATTCAAAATTTTCATAGTCGAACTGGTTATCATAATTATTATCAAAACCATCGCCTATGTTCCGTTCTTTTTGCTATCTTCATGAAGCAAGGGGCCTAAGGTATCGTTTTTTTTGTAGGAATGGAGGCGATGTTTTTCCGTGGAAAGATTCCTTTGAAGTTCATACAATGCTAGGACACTGGCACAGACAATTTTGGCAACGTCAATGGTGCTACAGGAGCTACGTTAAATCACACCTTCCAAAGCGGGCCTCTGTCACAGTTTCTAGAGTACCTGAAGTTTGTAGGGAGGCGATTAGAAGTATGCCCTGCAAAATCTCCTCAAACTCCACTCCCGAAGGTACGGACACATACATTCGACAGGCTCAATTAAAATAGGGTCACGGGATATGTGCTATTCGTATGGGGAGAGTTGACGGGTAAAGTCTCATCTCCGCTTCACGAAAAGCAACTATTATCTTGCAACTGTTAAATTCTATACTTGGGAGGGTCGTAGATCAGCCGGCCAACTACGCACCAAGAAGCAAACAATCTGTTTATGGTAACGCGTTGTGAACATATATCAACTATTTAGCCAATAAAAGAGCCGCTGCTGAGGGCAGCCGAAGTGAATTCTTGATATGAGGGTTTCGCGAGCGCAGTGTTTCTTAGCACGAACTGGCGCCTATCATGTAATTATACCGTACGGAGAAGTAATTTAGCCCGATTACTACATACTCCTCCCCCAGCTCAGTCTTTGATCTTGATCATGCTCAGATTTAGTACAGCAGTTTAGGGATGAATCACTACCAGTAGACTTCTATGAGGCTATATCGAGTTATGAGAACATTCTCACACTACGGGGGGGGCACACAAAAAACATTTAGCCCTTGTCGCATTTCGGCGATTTTCACAAACATTAATGTCGTTGGCAGAAGTTTTATAGCAAAATATTCCTTAAATGCTCCTCTATGAGTAGACGCAAGCTCTCGCTGCCCTCACGCGCTCCAAGGAGTATGATGGTCATCGTGCATCGACGGTCGAGCTCGAAGGTAGACCTAACCGGTACTTTGGCTCCCAGCCTGAAAGCTCTAGAATTTCTCCGAATCGGTTCATCTTTGATATTTTCCTAGAAACATTGGCTCTGACTATACAAACCCCCTCCCGAGCAGTTTTTCAGAAAATGTCTGGTACACGATTAATCGGCTAATCGGTGGGCTCGGCTCATGCACCACTTTCCCCTAACAGATTTTCTGATGCCGTCCACGTGAAAGATCGCTGTGAACTTTTTTTTTGATAAAATGGAATGTGGTCTTCAACTTCAAGTTTGGAGCATAAGCGGCTTGAATTTCGGGAAATGATGCTTCCCTGATGGTACAGCAGGTAGGCTATGTGGGACCTTTGTTTCTGCACAGCCAATCCTTTGACGATAGAAATAGAAGTTCAATTTCGACTTGTTTTTGTTTGCTTAACTGCTGTTTTTGGCTGCAGCTTCGCCTTGCGAATGTTTCACAAGTATGCTGGGTTGTGAACAAAACTTTCGCCCCAGACGGGACTCGAATCCGCACCTCTTGCTCACGGCAAGTGCGCTACAAGCTAAGTTAACTACTTTTGAAACATAAAGTTTAATATTTTTAGACTCACTTGTCATCCTGCTAAACATTGAATTTTATTGAAATGTGTAGCAGGATGCTTCCCAGAGTACCTTGTAAAATTTCGTGTTCCTGAGATATGCTTTGATAGTTTGAGACACAGTCGTTCAAAGGCCACACTGGTCGAATTACTGCCAGCAAGCGATAGTCTTAGGATAACTACATAGCAGACTGACTGACTGTTTGCGGAAGCGACAGTTGAAAGTAATCCCAATACTGAAATCTGTGGGTTAGTGAGTTTCACTTTCGCACCTTCAAAAGGCTACCCAGTGTCGAAAACTCCAATATTACACAGCCAAAACGGTCCTGATCATTTCGAGATGCTATTAGAAGTCGGAGTCTCGAAACACTTTGTCTGTACAACTTAACGATTGTTTCGCGATGAGAAGACGACTTCATCATCCTGAAAACGCTTTGATTCAGGTATTCTTAGAAACAGCACGAGTCGAAAAATGCTGTTGCAGGCAGAAAAAATACCAGAGATTGCGAAAAAATCGAGGGAACTCCCGGATATGTGTGGACTCTCCAGTGATTTGGTTTTTTTTTTTTTGTTGTTTCTCCCATCCGAGTTTTTGGCGATGGGCACGCCAACCCTATTTTGGAGGACTTCTGATGTTACGAAGAACAGGTACTCTCACTAGTAGCCTCAACCAGCCTGAGCTATAAATTTTGCGAGAGATAAACGTTTTAGAGATCGATCTCTAGATCGCATGGAATTCTTCGTAATGGCGCCCTCCTAGCCACTGCACCTTGTGTTCTCCCCTGAACGAAAGGGCTGCACGGCCTCCTCGTTCCTAAATCTTGATATTCCACTTGAATTTTCATCACTACGGTATGGAATTTCCCACTGAAAACCTCAAGCTCCAAACGCATATTTCATTCTAGAACATTTCCTTTTGTGATATACGAACACTACGGAGTGAGGTTTCGATTCCTTGAGAGCTTATTTAAAATTATTCTGAGTTTGTTCACGATAATGGACACATTTCTCAGCGTGACTCAATCATCCTACAGTAATTTCACTGCTTAATGTTGTGAACACAATAATCACTTCATAACACTATCGCCCTACCAGGTGCACACTCGCAGCTAATTCACCTGAAATGATTGTTGGCTTCCGCGACATTCTTTTCGTCGGCATGACGTGAAGCGGAATTAGACGCGAAGCTGGACGTTCGGCCACGAAAGTAGGGACCTCATGCAGACTAAGCCAAGAAGAGCGCCTGGTTATAAAACCAATTCTCCTCAGCTCATTTTACAATAGTGTACTAGCAAGACCTGCCAGTTTTGCTGAAGAGGTTCATTTGAGTTCGATGTCCTGCACATATGAAATCAGATAACTCAAAGTAACAACCAGAGACGAGGTCCTGTAGAACAATCTATTCAGCGGGTAGGATAGGGTTGACTAGCGGCTAATTCAAATACCGCCATTTGGTTTTACCATGGAGGAATCAAACTCAGAGGACTCGCCAATGACGTCATCAAAACTGCTCTGCCTCTCAGCCAGCGCGCCCTCTGGCTTCAAGTCAGAAATTTTATAGCGAGCTAGACAATGTGGTTTGTTTTTAGGTAAGTAGGTACATAATGGCAAGCTTCACTTTGAGTTATTAGTATGTTGTTCCTTTCCTAGGGACGACACGGTAGAACTATCCATTTCCCTTTCAGTTAGTGTGGGCGGCGTAGGAAGTGACTCAATTTGTCTGAAGGGAAAAGGGTGAAATTACAACTCATTCAACCTAACTGGATACAAATTCGCTTCTGCAGAAATCATTCACTCAACACCTATTATCAAGGAATTTCATCCGTCTTAATCACTACCTGGACAGCTGCCCTAACGACAAGGAGCGCATTCAAGTGAGATCTCCGCAACCCACATGCATATGGTTAGTCGCGGCCACTTGCGAGGCGAATTTCAAAAGTTTCACATTTTATCATTTCAATGGAATAATCATGGAGCAAATTGACGTTCAAAATGAATTTCCAGACCTGATATGCATACGAGCTTCTTAATCACCTTGACGACAGTGTGGAAACTATGTATGTCACCAGTACGTGCAAGATATATGTTTTCGCAGGAGCAACCATATTCAAATTTTAATTTAACACCTTGTGCAAAAGCGGCGGAAGTGGTGTAGTGGCAAGTGGCACGCTCACCACGCGAGCGGTCCGGGGATCAAATCCTGGGTCGTGAGTCGCCCGGGCCAACCAAGCCTTCCATCCCTCCGGGGTCGGTTAATTGGTACCAGACTTGTCTGGGAGGATAAAAACACTGACTTGAACATCGGCTGGCCCCCGCAAGTCATTGTATAGGCCACATCGCATTCAAACGCCACTACGAATGTACAAATGGAAGTAGAATGCGTGCCGCATCCCAAAAAGGGATTGATCAACGGCAAATGCTTTATCCTTTTATTTATCCTGTAAATTAAATTTGCCTTTCTAACTTCGTATAGACACTATTTTGGTCTCGAAAACTTCCATTTCTAACTGCGATAACTAAACGCATGATGTCGTCAACGTGTTGAAACACGAAAAAAGGCCAAATATAGTAATCAAAACTAAACTGTCCTTGTGATGTCCTCGCCAGCGGAATAATTTGTGGCCCATACTATACTATCACAACTCTTTTGAAGGTTAAACAGCGTTTCTTAATAAAAAGTTGGTCTCCAGTTTGAAGTGTCTCAAGGCCTAGAATATAATTTGGTCCTGGCAGGATGCGTGCCTTGCCTCTTGAGACTAGTAAATCCTCTGTAAAAAATATATCAGCATACTGTTCCTGAACGAATCAGAAAGGAGGCGAAAATGAATAGGTCTGAATTCAATTTTACCTGTTCCCCACCCTTTGAATTTCTAAAGCCTATCATTATGAAGTTGTTGTTTGTGCAGCAATCCATATCAGCCGCTATCAGAGAGTGGGTAGACCGCAAAGAATTCGCACACGGCTACGGTTCATTGTTTTCACTAACTCATCGCGTGGTGGTAGAATGTTGGACACGTTTCCAGCTGAAGATGTTCGAAAATGGATGGCTAACCATACTACACATGTCTGGCTCATTGCTGCCTGCTATCTTGGCTTCGTACTCACAGCACCCGGTAAAATCGTCAAGAAGCACGGATTATTACCTCAATGGTACAAATTCCACCGAATACCTAACTACACCACGGCTTTAAAAATCTCGTGCTTTTCAGGTACTATTATAATGGATTGCTTCAATTGTGTCTCCTAGTGGCATTTCTCCCAACACTTTTGTTCTCCTTACTTATAGGCGGTTGGAGAGATTCCGTCTGTAGAAATCACTCCCTTTACACTGGTATGTTGTCTGGTTAATACTGTACAGGTGATTCGTTAGGTGATCTGGCGCTCATGTCGTTGAGGGGCATTCAAGTGCAGCCGACCCAATTCCGCGTGCTTGGACTAGCCTTGAACATTACAAGCCAGACAGAAGTCGTGGGAGCGACTTGGTCTGTAGGTAGCCCGCGATAGGAAATCACCGCCGTCTGACTTTATGTGCACAGAAATCGCGTCAAGAGGCCGCTGGGGCCATATAAAGTGATCTGCAGCAGCAATTGTTTTTATCAAAATGTGGTCCATCGCCCCCTCATCTGCTGCGCTCTCTCGTCTCATACTCTCCTTTCGCGCTCAGTCCTCTCACTGCTTCAGCATAGGCCGATTAGCGAAAGAGAGAACGCGACGCACCCAAGCGTTTCCGACAAAGTCTTTTCTTCACTGTCGGTTTATTTTATACCAATACCTTTGCATTCGTCCCAAGAACCACATCAATTTGACTGGGGCATGCTTTTTTGGAGAGAAGGGGATCCCGGAAGTATATAGGATACAACTTTTGTTCAGCCCTGAGTTCTAGGCTCTCCTGGGCTTCCATGCCTATGGGCCACCATCATGGTTTCAATATGCTATCTTTCGAATGTCCCCCCTAGGGCCATGAGCGCCGTTAGTAATTGAAAGAGAAAGGTGACAGCATAATTTCTGGATCATCGACGACGACCACAGCAAGGTCCACTTGGTTCCGTTGCTATTGCAATCAAAACAATCAGCAAACATTCTCAATAGTGCCATCTCTAAGCGTATAGGCGTACATCCCCGGATGATATCCACTGCAGAGCTAATCCGTATGTCGAAAGGATCCAGCCCGAGCATAGTAGATGGTGTTATCGGTGTAACTGCTACATCAAATGGCCTACGTGGCATCAACCTCGCCCAGCTATGGTCCAAATACACCTGTCTTGACCCGGCTAACAGTTTCATTTAAGCTGCTTTTGAGAGCTGAGCTTGCACTTGTTATTTCAGTTGGAATATTTCTTCGAAAAAAGTTCTTAGAAAAGCAGAGGGCGGTTTTAAGTAAGTGCTCTCCCCTACGTTCTTCGTTACTGCGCTCGGGCTGGAGGTGACTACTTCAGATGCCTTAAATCAAGTATTCGGGTTGCTATCATTTTTTCGGTGCTCGTGTCTTTAGAGGGAACACTCAAAACAGGGCTGATAATGGAGTTCTGGATGCCGAGTTGGCCAAATAAAAAGAAAACCAAACCGTCGATGAAGCTCTTAAACAAGGGCTCTCTCACTTACTCTTCCATCTTGAAATGAAAGAGGGACGTGTCAGGGAGAGTTGCCCAAACTTGCATGCTTCATAGTACCGCCAACGCGCGCGTATTTGAAAGAAGCCGCTTCGTCATAATCCGCGTTACATGGGGTATGCGCGAGGTTACTCGTCCATTGGCTCACACCAGCCTTTATCATGGTCCAGCGTTATTGTCGCGCACATGCTAGCCACGACAACGACACAACTGTGATACTCGCGGGTTACTTTATTGCCCCTAAAGTTGTCCCATATCATCTCATCTGGGCTTGTTTTTAATGTACCACGTTTTTGAGACTAACTCTAATTAATAATAGGAGTTGTTAGTGGCACGGTGATGTTTCTATTCGTGTTCACAAAACTGCTCGACTTGGCCGAAACAGTGCTAATTGTTCTCGAAGGACGTCACCCGCTGCTGATTCATATTTTTCATCATGTCGTCACCTTACTTTTCACATGGAATAGCTATTCTCACCACAGCTCCCTTGGCAGGTAAAGTTTGATATTAGTGTGAATTTAAATTTCCTCCACAAAAAAAAACTGAAGGTAAAACCAGTGGTAAACTCTCCTGCATTTTGGAGCTTATATTTTTTGTATTTGTGGGCTTGTACAATGTTACATAGGGATAAAAGGCACAACTCGGATTATGGAAGTGAAGCCTGAGCAAGGCAGAGAGCGTTCCTCGAGTGTAGAGGATGTACCACCTTTGCCGCATCAAACTTCCAGGCAGAGACGCTAAGGCATAAGGATGTAGACGGAGGTTCGCTTAGAGTCACGCCTGGGAATTAACGTCACGAGCGATTCCATACTCCCTCGTATCCATGCTCTTTCACCTCCGAATCTTTCCTCTCTCTCTCCTCGGCTCAGTATTTCCTACCTTCCTGTCCGCCTCTTTCGAGGAATGGTCAGTTGATCAGTGCGACCATTTGTAATAAGGCCATCATAATGAACAAACCTTTGCAAAAAGCGTGGGAAGGAATGCCCACAATCTGCCTCTTCGGTGTGCCAAGCCAAGCTCAGAGTGATCAACCTACTGCATACATACATAGATTGGCCTTGCTTAAGACGCCATCGCAGCTCTTTCACTTTTGCACCGACAAGGACTCCACAAAGGCCTAGCAACTTCTTCAGGACAAGCAAAACTGCGCCTCCACGTAGGACCACTTGCAAGCCTCATTTAGATACTCGAGCCGCAATCAAAACTTCAAGGAATTCTCTCCTTGAGCTATGCACTAGAACCTCTACTCACTGAGGTAGCGATTTGAAAGTGCCTGAAAAGGGAGTTAATGCCGTCGCGTGAGTACTGCCACCGCTGCTATTCTTACCAATCGTAGCATACGCACCGTGCGCCCTCTCGCGCACGACGTGCTCCCTCGCGTTCTCCCTCTCCTTGCATCGTTGTGCCTTTTCACGCCCCACATTGGGTCTCGCAAGAAAAAGATCAGTGTTTTATGTGGTGCTTTTTGCTTTTTCCCAACGCTCCGCTTTGCACTTTTCGTTCAATTTTCGCTTAAAATAACACACAGTTCAGTCGCAACCATACTTCAGAGAGACTTCAATACAGCCCTCTGTTTTAGGTGGTTCGTAGCCGTCAATCTGTTCTCGCACGTGATATTGTATTCATATTTGAGCCCGAAAAAATTTGGAATAGCTCCATGCTGGCTATTTGTCGCTTTCAGTGAGTGCAGAACGGTTCTGATTTGTCTCAGGATGAATCGACAAATTCATTCATTCCATCGGTCATTCGTCCTCAATCGCAGCATAAACGCCATCTCGTGAACGAGACACCATTACCATTAGAACTCTATCAACTGTATCATCTATTAATATTACCCACACTCATCGCATTTGAGTGATTGATGGTGTCTTACTAAATTTAAGCCTGAAAGGCCTAAAGTTGAACATTTCAGCGCAAGTGTATCAGTTGGTGTTCTGTCTTATATTATGCTTCACTGCGCAAAGCGTAGGTTTTCTATTGATTACACAACTTTCCGGTCTCAGTGGTGAAAATGATCGCTTTCCATGCTTGAACCATTGAGAAAAAGGCCAAAAATAACTAGCAGTGATCACACTCGCATCACGTTTCCCGTGTTGGAGTGTGCTGACCACCCTCATATATCCTAATCCACTAAAGGAGGATAAGATCGGAGAAATAGTAGAAGGAGTCCATTGACGAGCCTCCTGACAACGTCTGAGGTTATGATTCGGTTTTTCAACGCTGTACGTGTGGGCATGAAGCGCAGGACTATGCTTCATATTTCCTGAGCTGCTCTGTGAACGCCAAGAAGGGGCCGAAACTTTCGTTCATGGTTCGATTCCCCGTGGTGACGAAATTTAGCATTTTTGATTGGCGCTTGCATTCAGCAAAATGGAACCTGCAACTAGTATGGATGTTTTATTACCGTAAGGGCTATCAGTAACCCATGCGAAAAGGTTTCTACCAGAAACATTGCCAAAAGGTGTAACGTTTGAGCTATTTCAACCTCTTTTTTTGGCATTCAGCGGGCCGTACAGCTGAAATGAAGAACATGTAGATCCGTGCCTCGTGGATGTGCCCCCACATCATGCAACAAGAAACCGCTGTTGAAAAGCAGGACACGACCTGAAGTGCGGGACAAGTTTGCTCAAAGAGCATGCCCCTAGTGGCAGTAGGGTCATGCTCGTGCAGCTCGCAAAACGGGCATGACCCTTCTCACGGTCTTACTCTAACCGCTTAGCAGAGAAAACTTAAGCGTTGAAGAGGCAACGATGAGAGAATCAACGAGCAAAGGGGTCCCAAATATTGGATTCTGGGCTCTCTGTTTCTCTTGGTTCTTTTTTCATCCGCCACCGCTGACCACCTGAACCTTGTTTTTAATCAGCTGCTTTATATCGAGAAACTCCGCCTTTAATCAGTGAAGAATCCGATTCCGAATTGCTGATGTGCTCTCACATTGGCAGCTTAATCTCATTGAAGTCACATTCTACGGTAACACGTGTGGTTAGCTCTTTTGAACGAGAAATCAGATGCGTGGGCTGGTACGCCAGCGGAGGAGAAAGTCGTAGACACCTTCAAAAATGGAAATAAGAATCGTTTTCTAACGTTAGGGAGGGATCATTGTAAAAGACCAATAAGGACAAGCACTCTAGGAGAAACGTGTGCCGTGGCGAGAGAACCGGCCCAGCGAGTGAGAGAGTATAGCGGATGTGCGAGAGGCAGACACCCTGCCGAATAGACTGGCTTTCATCAGGAATACTCTCGACAAGTGACAAATCTAAAGCACCCCTGTCGCACACCGCTTTCAAGCTGTGAGAATGGCACAAATTCCTTTGTGGTGCGTATTATTTCCACTTGATTCCTTGGTTTACTACTGTGCTTTTGAACAGAATTTGGGGACGTGGCCCATTCTGAATATTTTACCTTATATGGCCCAGCCTCATTAGAACTCAACGGATTGTTAGAAATGAAAAGAGAAAATCCATTTAATTGAATTTTTCCGCTCTATATGTACACAGCTTCTTTTTGAACTATCTCAAACTCATTTATTGAATCACTGGTACTTCAGGAAATCGATGAAGGTCGTAAATGCGACGTCGATCCAGGTCGACTATCCTTGGACAAATTCGTGTCGGCAGTGTTCTTCTTCATCTTTGCCGACTTTTATCACGTGAAGTACCGCAAGTTCCGCGAAACGCACGACTGCGCCCTGGCTCAGTACTTGCGCAGCTCGTCAACACGCTCGATTCGTCGCACGACACCGCGCAGAAGCCCACAAAAAGTCTCAATCCGACAATGGTCACCGACTGGAATCACACCGACAGATCCATATGTTACGAATTAGCAGCTCTATGTTAAATAAAGACTTTTAAGTAATACTCACAGGCGTTAGAACTTATGTAAAGGCAGCGAGCACGACAGCTGGAGGGCGGTGCTGTTTCGGTGACATCATTGAATGTCATTAGTAAACATGGTCCTAAGCGGTGTGGTGAGAGCGTCTCTAGGAGCCCCGCCACCAATTACGGTCAACGAAGTTGACTGTGAATTCGCAGCCGTCTCTATAGCAGCATTATCACTGCTCTCAGGCCCTCGGGGCGTTAATCCAATAAAAGCAAGCAATTCAAGTCCGCTTTTCTTAGGCTTTGTCATAGGGAGCCGTGTGGTTGGACGACAAGACTATTGAGATACAGCCGTTTGGGACAGAGCGAGCACCTGGAAGCGTAAATGAGCGACGTTCCGACCGCAATCAGCGTTGCAAGTATGCGCTCCCAAACGACGCGCTTTTCTGCGGTGGCCATCCTGAATCCGAGCGGAGCACCGTGGCGCTCCGCCGCGCGGGCGGGGAGCCTGAGCGCCGCACGCGAGCGTCCGTCCTCCACCTCCTATATGAACGGCGCTTAGTACAGTTGGCGAGTTTGCTCGACGCGTTCTCTCTTCGTTGAGAGCGCAGAGAAAACGAGGGCGAGCACACGTTTTAACGCGTCAATGCGTCGCGCATTGTACGTGACTACAGCAGAACAATATAATTCACGCCTTACTTCGGGTGCTCGCTCTGTCCAAACGGCTTATCTCCAGACCTTGCACACTATTGCACTCATCGACACTCATAAAGGCAGGTTTCTTGTTAATTCGGTCTGAGGTGTTGGGGTTCTGTGTTATATGTATGCGCCTCCCAGAAGTGTAAAAATATCCTTGAAGAGTATTGGGGCCAAGTTAAAATGACGATGTCACTGACCAAGATCCTGGACATTGCTTGCTGAAACGTAGAGCCTCCCAGAACAAGGCTGAAATTTGCACTCGTAAATTGTCTCAGGATTGTCTGCTTATTCCTTTTTTCTAAGCAAGACCTCTCTTCAGCTGCTACTGTGATTTTCAGACAAAATCCCATCCATCTCTGACCGTAGGAAGATTGATTCGTACTGAATGTGATTCTAGAAAGGCATAGTAGACCTATAAAGAACAAATCACATTTCAAAACACAAATTCGCAATGAATTCATCAGCAGTTATGGATTTGATTTTTTTCCAATTTTTTATTGATGAGGCATTCAATTCAAAACAAATCATCACTTTCATCAAGAAAAGTTCCATATGGATTCGGTGGACCTAAATCTACCAATAGTCGGCTTTCTGTTGGATCGGCGCGATAGTGAAATCGTGTTTCCGGCAGGAAGAGGTAGAGAATAAGGAGGAAGAGTGATCTGAGTAGACGTTAGATTAGATGTGTAACTTGTGATTAGGATTCTGTGATATGAGTGGTCGTTGCTCATATTTCCCAAGTCTTGGCCCTCTTGAAGGCAAGGTCCGAGATCGTGGTGATGTATTATTGCGCGGGTGAGTGTGGGAGGAGAATATGGAATGCTTAGGTTCTAATGCGTGCCAGTAGCGCAGTGGGAAAGGCCATGATAGATCGCCGGGGGCATCATCCTATCCTTTAATGCAAATTGCGTGTCGGTCCGCACTCTTAGAAGGCCCGCCTGTCTCTCGACTGGGTAAGTTCCCCCTCCATCATCTACAGTGGATTTCCTTCAAGGTCTAAATAGTGTTGAGGAAAACCAGTCGGTAATAACACATCATGACTCTTTCTTCATGCTATTTCTCTGGGCAATGTGGTACCTTTTGAACGAGAAAATGTTCGGATCACTAGAAGCGATCAGAGAGTAAGTAAAAGAGCCCTCTAAAAAACATGCTTGCATCTTCAGCAGGAACGACATCTGTGCTTCAAAGCCACGGATCGCAAGTGGATCCTTTCTAGGAAAAGAAAGAGGGATCACTAAGCCCAAGAGATTCGACAATGAAGCGATTCAAAAGTGCCCTACAAAGGCACTAGCCATAAGGCCTTGCCTTGTATGATGCGGCCCACCCTATCAATCGTGGCGTACGTAGCGCTTGCGCCCTCTCGTGCACGGCGTGTTCTCTCGTGTTTTCCCTCTCCTCGCAGCGCTGTGTCTCTCCGTCATAAACAGCCGACTTGAAACTTTAGGAAAAATTCAGCGTTTCCATGGTCTCTTTGCGTACTCTCACTCCTTGTCGCACTTCTTGTCTAATTTTCAAACGAAATAACACACCAAATCGATCCCGACCAGTGCCTTTAAGTCCACGCCCGATTAAACGAAAAAAAGGAGATTTTGTAGCTAGAAATGTTGTATTTCACTCCACGGAAAATTTCCCTCGCCCCGAACGACATTCATATTCCGCTAAGCGAACACATTCTTTAATCGTGATCACATATTTTAACTCTTACGTTGGTATAATGAAGAACAGATAACTCCATCCACCGACGTTCTCATTAAGTGGATAATAAATAAGAGTACTGATCATCGAACAAATCCAATTTACCGCCACCGCAACACCTGAAAAAAAAACGTTGAAAATTTTTATGTTTATTCAAAATCATAAAAATTTCTGTTTCACCGATCATAGAAATGTTCGTAGGTCTGTAATCTTGCTATTACTCCCATATTTCCAGAAAAGGTCACAGAAAGCCTTCTGATTCCAACTCATTCTAGTAGAGACATAGTGGCGTTTGAATCTGTGTTTCGTTCATGAAGTGAGCTCTTTTGCCAACCAGTGCGTGCTTATGGTCAGATACGTTGCCCTGCTGGCTTCTTCTTGTCATAGCATTAGAATTCTGGACCTAATTTCCAACCCACGACCCCACGACCACGCAGGACCGGGTTGATGTGCGATTTCCCGAACAGGGCAAATAACGGTTGATTGATTGATTGATTGTTGACCGATTGATGTAAATAACGATCGATGAAATCCCCGATCATGGCTCTGTACTGTGTAGTGTGGAGTGTCGAGAGCGAATGTGCGCGCAGAGAGCACAGAATGCTTATCGCTTGGCGAGGGTGAATGTCCGCGCAGGAGAGCGTGACTGAACAGGTTGAAAATTCTCGACATAGTCTCGGCGACATTTCAACCTGTTCCGGCCCATGTCGTGTTTTTCTGTATTTCGCTAGCGAAAATGCTAATGAAACAGGCATGATGGTAGAATAAGAAACAAAAGAATTAGATTCGCAAGTTGACGAAAAGACTTTTTGAAACTTTGGTCATGGACAAAAAAGATTCAAGAAAAAGTTTGCCAAAATAGAACTTAATCATTAAATGAAAAAAAAAATCCACTGTAGTTTGTTGAACACAACGAGTTGAATATTGGAGGTTACATGGAAGAAAAACTTGATGATCCTTAAAGGAATCTTGCGCGGAAAAATCATGATTCTATTTCAGCCATAAATCACTGGCTTGAGACTCATTATCCACGATAATAGTGAAAAGAACTGAAGTATTGCTTTCGTTTTGATTAGAAATTCGAAAACTCGAAAAGGCTGCTACGCGTTCGAATTGCCCACGGACGTCTTTCACGAATGCTGGCGACGGGGATGCTCAAACTTGGTTCTTGGAGTGCATTCACTAGAAGCTCTTTCTGGCCTTCTGCTTCGTTGCATTCACATCTTACACTTCTACTCCATCCTATTCCATCGATCGATTTGTCTCCACTCTCCGAAATCGCGCGCTTTAACCCGATTCTCTCATTGCGTCGCCTGGTACGTAGCCGGCCAAACGCCGTCTTCTTTCCATGCCTCGCCTGGCTCTGCCTCCTGGTCCTTCGATGGTCCATAACGTGTAGTTTTTGTACGTTTGTTTCTCTTCAGAAACCGAATCTTCATGCGTGAAACTTTGTGTGCTATTTCCAGTGATCACAACTGACATATTCATGTTAGGAAAGAGTGCAAGAATTTTCCGCGCAAGATTCCTTTAAAGTTATTTTAGGGTGTCTACACACTTTCGATACGCACTATGCTGTATCCTCAGCAGAACACGTAACTCAAATGAGCAAGTTTGGGGTCCGATCTATGTGGAGTTGCATTTTTTACCTTCTTTAATTTGGTATCATCAGTATTGGAATGGGTCTAGTCATGAGGATCGGGACCCTGCATTAGTTTTTATACTCACGATCAATCAGTATATTCCGCCACTTCGTTTAACCCTTCCTTTCTAGAAGGACACACCTCAGAAAACTTTTCTGTCTGCTAAGTATGTGACCTCCACTTACAAGCTTTGGAAGTAACGTCTCTCTGCTGAAATCCACGAGTGGCATCTGGTCCTTACCTGACCTGCCTGTTCCACGAGGGTGTCGGTATACTCGTGTCCCGAAGTTCAGGCAGGCTTCCCATTGCACCTATAGTAGTGCTATGGGCACCATTGCCGACTGGTGCAGGTAAGGTACCTGGATTACACTCAAAGTCACCCAAGTTTGAGAGGTCTTCCTTAGTTCCTCGCTAGAGGGTCAGCAGTGCTAATTTTCCCTCGTGCTGCTATCTCTTTGAATGCAGGAAAGGGAATAGGTTTGCAGTAGTCCTTTTATATCGTAGTTTTTAATAGTTTCGTGAAGATAATAGGGCTACCGTCCTCATTGACTAACCACAATGTTTTCTATTGTTTGTTTCTTTATAGGCGCGTCAACTGCACGCATGAATAAATAAATAAATAAATAAATAAATAAATTTGATCTGCTTTGCGGTTCGGGCTGAAAATTGGCCGGCAATTCATTCCATAATCCTGGAACGCTTTCGAATAACTGTGTAGTGGAGTAGCGTGGCGTCCTAATGGATTATGATTACGAATATTAAAGACTACATAAATTTGAAGCGACTGAATCTTTGTGGGTTATGCGGCACCACGCAATCTAACTAGATTCCAAACCGTGATGTCAGTTGAATGCGGTCTCATTTGTAGTTAGTTTTTTAGGCAGTCATAGACGTAGTCCGCTGTTTTATTCCTGCTGGCTACCCAGCTCTGGTACCAATCACCGACGCCGGTAGGATTGAAGGTTAAGTTGGCGGACGATGTACGATCCAGAAATCTTGATCCGTACGCCGTACGCGTAGTATGCGGTACCACTCTCCACTATGTACATCAATTGCAAGGGGGGTTTATCTTTGATGGGTTTTGTTTATTATTTTGAAGAAAACTTTAAAGAAGTAGGAAAAATCAGGAATCGGCAGGAAATGCATTTCCATTCCATTTGCAGACGTTTTGCGTTTTGTGGCATACTTGCCCCTACCCCCGCTCCCCTCCCCCTCGACAGCAGTAGTTTTGGAGGAGAAAAGTGGCCGAAGTGGGTGGTCTCGACCCTCGGAATCAAATTCTATAGAACGACATGATGCTGAGGGTGGTGGACGGGAATGGGGAGGAGAGGTCCGTGTCGAGATCCAATTAAAGGAGGGATACATGAGTTTTTGAAATCATGCGTAACGCACGGATGACTCTTTGCAGAGTTGGGTCGCTCTGATAGAGGTTTCCAAACTTTTGCACTTACCGAGAGAGACACCGGCTGCCTCTGCTGGTACCAGCTCAGCAGGAATGAAATATGCAACCGGTCCAACACCGAGGTTGTAACCGACGCCATAGATAAAGAATGCTACTAAATAGAGCCATGATGCCCACCATCCTTCTGAAAAGACGTTCATTATAAGCTTTCTGTTCGTTGAAACGCCTACCGAACTGAAAGTCGCAAAATAAGCGTGATGCGAAAAAATCAGATATTGAGGGAAACTTGGCCCCAAAAGCTGCAGTTTCCGCTTACCCATGGAGAGAAGAGAAAATATCAATAATAGGCAATCAGCAGCAAGACACAACGTCAATGTGCTCAAAAGAAGTGATCGCCTGCTCGTCGTCTCCACCTGTTAAAAAGCACTACATAGTTATACAGCTGCAAAGGGGCTCGAGTAACAAGAAGTGAACTTTATTTATTTGTTCGAAAATTCGAAGAATGGTGAATTTTTTCGAGCTTCAGGTAGGTGCATGGCACCAAAATAGGGACCACGAAACTCCAGACCCTTCTTTCGGTGGCATGTGTGAAACATTTTTCGTGAAAAATTTCAAAAATGCCGAGTATCAGAATAAGGCTTTGTTCTCGACTTCTGAACTGTTCGAAAAAAAGGTGTCTAGAAAAATTTGTAAATATAACGGTAGAACTACACTCACTAGTTGCAGCGCTGGTACTGTCAGAATAATAGAGAAAACCGCACCAAGAGCAGGGAGAAATGGAATCAACACCTTGGTAAATGACACAGCCTCAAACATACTGAAAAGAAAGGATTACTCATCCCAGCGATCCCTGTGCCAATACGAAAGATAGTTTTGCTAACCGGGTGGCGGAATTTAATGAGCACCGTCAATCCATGAACATTTATCTATTTGACAGTATTCTGACTTTGCAAGGGATAGAAGCATGGTAAGTATGGACTTTCAGAATAGACTCTAAAACCTTGTACCTTCCAGGCAACATTACCACATACTTACTAAAGTCCTATTTCTACCCCCATCCCTTCCCTGCTTTTCAAAAAATCCGCCAATCAGGTAAAATTTCGCTATCAAGAGCGTGGAACTTTTTGAAACCCTTCAAAACTTTCAAGGAATCTGCATATTCGTTAGCTCAAAATGAGTAGTATGTGAATGATTCATTGAACTCCTGCACATATCCCTTCACTCTGCTCTTCCGTCAGCATACCTCAACAAAACACTCACCTCGTGGAATAGGATATTGAAGCAACACTTCCAGAAAAGACTTGACTGGCGCTTACTACGGTTCCTAAGAGAACACCTTTGCGTATGTTCGAACTCATCGAAGCCTCCATGAATCCCATTTGGTTCGGCATCTGAACTTGAAAAACTTTCAGTGATATCAGTTGATTTATACTGATTCCGATAGATGAAAAGGGCTTGCTTTGGCTACGAGGAACGCTACCTCGGGCACCATGTCCCAGTACTCCTGGATTGCTTCATCGTCATCGTCATAGATGATATCGTAGTAAATCTGCATAATTATACTTTTGATAAAAGAACCAAGAGAATAGTGAAAGCTTCTTATTGGGGCGGAAGTACTAGTTGAGTTTTTTTTCTATTTTGTTGCGTATGAAAAAAAAGAAACGAACTTGATGGAATCGATGGCTTGTATGTAGAAGCCATTCTGAAGATAGTAGTTAGGTGTTTCAGGTATGTACGAATTGGCAACAATTTGAGCCGCTCCTAAATGAACAAATTGGCAGCTGGGGATGAGCAGCCGTAAGCCCAAACCTTGTGTGGATTTTCATGATTGTTTTCATTATTTTGAGAAACTTCTAATGGCATATATGTACGTATGTACACACTAGATTTGGTATGTACTAACCATCATTGTCCCTTCACTATAAGTCAAGATACGAAAAGGGTTGATCTGCAGAGCAGAGCAACCTGAATCTAATTATAGACTTATATGCATACGCTAAAGCCTATACGGGGGCATTGTGGGTGGCCCAAACGCTTGAAACCGCGGAAAGATTCCTTACTAGTCAAAAGGAGACTAAGCCTCAGGCGGGGAGGAGAGCCTGCAGAGTAGCGAGCAATTTTCAATCTCTCCTATCCTGCTTTCTAATACACTCAGTCCTATAACATGCCCCGTCTCTTGAAGATAGGCCAACGAGACGGCGTCTGTACGTGTGTCTGGATTACTGTCGGTCCGTCCGCAAAATGAAGTGGTAGGTGGACTCAAAAGGGGGGTGGGGAGGTTAAAGGAATCTTCCACGGAAAAAGCTCCGCCCTCATTACCACAGAAAACGATACCTTAAAGGAATCTTCCACGGAAAGAGTGATCATTTTGTCTTGTGTGTAGGATTAGTATTATCGAAACTAACGCTTATGTTCCGTTCTTTTTGCTATGCTCATGAGGCTAGGGGCCTAAGGTATCGTTTTTCTGTGGTAATGGAGGCGGAGCTTTTCCGTGGAAGATTCCTTTTAAGTGCAGGGAAGGAAGTTCTATACTTAGCTGGGGTACACACTCTGGTGAATCGAAAAAAACCCGAGCAAGATGCTTTAATGGAGAGGAATTTCTTTGACGTTCGTTGAAATACGTTCATTCACCTTCTTTTCGAAATGTACAATAGTAGGTGAGCAGCGTTGCGCGATGGAAAATGCCTGTATCATTCACAAAGCCACAAGGGCCATGTCCACCCAGAGCAAGCAACCCAGTAATATCTGATAATATATATATATAAGATATGGGAGAAGGGGTTCAAAATGTTCGGCTGTGCCTCTAAGCCATTTTATGGACAAAGAGCACATTCATATCCATCCAAGTTCTGAGTTTAGTCGAATACGCGGCGCATTCCCGGAGAAAAACAATACCGATCAATATCTGGGGAGACAAAAGAATAATCGCCAGTTGAAAACTTGGCTATGGCCTGATTCTAAAGCACTAAGTCAGTTCAGGACATGAGATTCGAGACGGAAGCCTTTAAGACAAAACCGTTGAAGAAAATCGCCATCTTACTGGCACTCTAATTTAGCTTGCCTCAGTACGCAAATTTGGACATTTCTGGGTATTTCCAAGTCCTCAAAGCTACGATTCCATGATTAAACTTTACTCACCTAGGATGGCCGGAGCGAATAGCAGCCAACCCCATGCATTTTGGCCTCCGAGAAGGAAGTCGAGGGATAAGACAGCCGCAACAGCAGATCCGATACAACTAACAGATAATGTGCACAAACGCTCAAGTGAACGCCTGAATGAAGTTATTACTGATATTAACATCATGGAAGCATATGCTATTTCGAATCTATGTACCAACGTAGTGGTTCTACAAAATAGTCGCTTAACTTCTCGGCGTTCTGTAAATGGAAAAAGTGGATAAAAGTAGCAAGAGAGGAGATATCAAGGCGCACTCGCAATATACCGGGACATCCTGAAGAGCGAAGTCTAGGAGGGGCACGAATCCGAAAATGAAATGCATGCACACCTGGGTCTTTACTTCTTGGCCCGGGCCTAGTCCGCTTTTTACACAAAAAATATGATTTTGACTTGTTTTGTTTGTTAACTGCTGTTTTAACGCCGCAGTTCGCGTTGCGAATGTTTCACAAGAATGCTGGGTTGTGAACAAAACTTTCGCCCCAGGCGGGACTAGAACCCGCACCTCTCGCTTTCCGGGCAAGTGCGCTACCAGTTACGCTACCGGGGCACCATTTCATTCCAACTCAGCTTTTCATGGTATACGTACCATAGCTACATATGTATTACGCAGTTTCAAATGTATTGCCAGCACAATGCCCCCGTGTATTACGATTGCGCCGATGTCAATATCCATAGTGGGCAGGGCTTGGATCCAAGTCAGCGGAGCTAAAAGCTGAAATTCACGCCCTGTTCTATTCCGCTGAGGCCCGCATTTCGCAAGTGGTAATTGCTGTTACATAAATTATTGAACTGCTTGACAGTTGGAGTACCTTCTCACCAGAAAGAGATATTATAAGCAGAACTTACCTTTATTTGCTTGGGAGCGATCTGCTGAACGAACAACGGCAGAAGGGCGCAAGCGATACCGGTGAATACTCCAATAAGAAGACGACCAATTATGAAGCAGCGGAGCGCAGTCAGCAAGAAGCTGTCACCACGCAAAAAGTCACTGATCAGAGAAATGCATTTAAATGTTCGTGACATAGATGATCCTTTTCATCAAGTCATCGCACTACCGATATGACTCGTAAAAAGAATTGTTAAGCGAGGCAAATAACTCACATAGAGATCGATCCAAGCAGTAGTAAGAACGTTGTTAACCAACATCAAAGCGCTCTTTACGCCGCGACGACGTAACAGCGGAGTGACCATGAAGCATCCGATCAGCGCTCCAAGGCTTTGACATGACACCAGTATCGACCTGCGAGGAAACCTCTGTGGAGCTCATATCGCAAGAAAGTATGTACATTGAGAACGTACCACAGGACAGCTACCGTTCCGGGTAATAATACCAGACGAAGGTGTTGAAGAGGCTCTCGGTCAGAGACTGTTGCAATACATCTTCTGGCACATTTAACACAACCATGTGATACCTAAGAAAGAAATCATTCAAGAGTTCGCAGGTAATGGTTTTACAATATCCTTACTACATGAAGCGGCGGTTCGGTCTGTCTCTACCCCTCTCTCTGCCTGTCACTGTCTCTCTGTCTGTCTGTCTGTCTGTCTGTCTGTCTGTCTGTCTGTCTGTCTGTCTGTCTGTCTGTCTGTCTGTCTGTCTCTGTCTGTCTGTCTGTCTGTCTGTCTGTCTGTCTGTCTGTCTGTCTGTCTGTCTGTCTGTCTGTCTGTCTGTCTGTCTGTCTGTCTGTCTGTCTGTCTGTCTGTCTGTCTGTCTGTCTGTCTGTCTGTCTGTCTGTCTGTTTGTTTGTTTGTTTGTTTGTTTGTTTGTTTGTTTGTTTGTTTGTTTGTTTGTCCCTGCCAACTAACGCCTGAACGTAGTAAGAGTGGAAGAGGGACTGAAACTAATGGGTGCAGAAAATCAAAATCTTTGGCGGCTAACGACGAATTTTGCGCATGGGGCGAGCAGGCTATCATAGTTCGGGTGGCCGAGACGTCCGTTCTGATTAATCAATGCCTTCTCTTAGTTGGTGGCAGCAATTTTCGTCCTGAGACATATGAAAACACTTGATTCTTAAGCTAAGCTGGCTATTTCCAATTGGCGGACGCTTCTAATCAATTATTACATAGCGGGATAACGTCAAATTCGAAATACCATCACCCACATACAGATACACGGATCGAATAAAATGCTAGCGACTCGTCATAAAGATACCATTTAAACCCTGAAGACTATCCTTAAAAATGATCTAGCGTTCAGAGTTGAACAGAGATTTCAATAGCTCCTAAACTAAATATGTGTTGCCCTGATACTTCCATCAAAGTATTTTGTCCCTGCATCCAGCACCTTCCCCCTCTCGCCATCTGAATGAGTTAGTCAATAATGTGAAAATTTTCCTTCCTTGGGAAGTTTTCTGCCTTTTTTTTGAAATCCCGAGCCGCTAAGAAAAATAATTATCAGTATTATGCTCCACGCACGCTACCGCTAGCCGATGCAACAGACCACTCTAGCACTTGTAACAGGCTCCACCGTCCTGAGCTTCGTGGTTATACCACCAGCGACGCTCGTCATATAACTCGCTAATCTCATTAATAATACTTACCCGACCGGTAATATTGTGAAATATGCAGTAAGCCAATATAATTTTGACACTTGTCTCGACTCCTCTTGTTTATCAGAGTTCTTGATCAGTGAGGCAGGGAGCGACATCTGTTGAGCATTTTATGCATTTTTTATTGAGTTTTTTGTTATCAAAAACGAAGCTCAACATTACTATTGGCATCGATTGAGGAAGTTCTTAGACATTTCAATTCAATAAGGTGGCTGGACACTTTTCCGAGTTTCTAGAGTGGTAAAAGTCGAATAACGACTCTGCTCATGGACAAATTTCCGAGCAAATACAGAAAAACAGGAACTGAAACAAATGTTCATTTTCAAACGAGAATTTTTCATTTTAAAGTTATACTATAATTAAACTGAAGCTATTGACGAGAACTGAAAATGGAAGAAGAGCAGCGGTAGTAATGAGTGACGAGTCGAAAGGCATTGCTGGGACAACATCCTTATCACTGAACGACCTGTGTACAAATCATATCAGGAGTAGTCGACCACGATATTTCGGTAGGTGTTTCCCGTAGTGACATCGTTTGAATTTTTTAAGGAGTTCTTATCTGGACCTTATCGGGCTTTATATAGACCTTCCCAACAAAATTGCTCAATATCCAATTTGACACGCATTTTCTATACATTCTTGAGAAAACCCTTCTTTTATCTCCGCCTCAGATCAAAAAGTAATAGCTGCGATGCAATAGTTGCGATGTTCGCTTCCATAATGATATGGATTGGTATGAATTACCGTTCCCCGCCCCCTCCCCCGCTTCCCGTTATTGTCTTTTCCCCTTCTCATCGAACCTATTACAAGCGACGCTCTACCCAGCTCGGGTAAATGATAACTATCGATTTCCAGTCCCATAACATTGCTGAACGGGCATCATATAGCACTGCTGAAAGGGCCTTAGTTACGCTATGTGAAAAGGGTAGAGAGCATGGTTTCAACACAGAGGTTTTCGTAAACTATGCAGACTTTATTTCACGTCACATAACTTGTAATTTACTACTTTATGTTAATTTCCATCTTAAGAATTCAACAAAATCAAACGGATGATAATTTTCATATGCTCCACAGATAGGAACCTTGAAATCAATCTTATTATTTCGCTACCAATCGCGAATGAATGAATAGCTAAAATTAGGTCCATAAAAAATTGCTTGAGGTGAAGCGGAACTGACCAGGAAGGTCTTCCAGGAAATGCCAGCTTTCTCGAAACGGTTTTTTGCATGATATAGAGGTACGTGCATGGAACACAGAACTGTGGTTCATTTTTCCTGAGCGACCCTCTGAATACCAAAAAGGAGCGAAGAAAAATTTTTAAGGAACTGCCGTTCTTAACTTTCTTCACCAGTTTTTTAGCCAAAGTCTACGTATAAAGGTTGCTGATGGTCCTAATTATAGATATGACATAAGTTGTTTACGCTGACGCTATTTTTCGCGAATTTTGAAACGCCAACACAAAATGCAAAAAATTGTCACTGCGAGGATTCGAACCACGGACCACTTCATCACCCCTTTTTTGGTATTCAGAGGGCCGCTCAGGAAAAATGAACTATAGTTCTGTGTTCCATACACGTTATATATCATTCATTCATTATATCTGCAAACAACCGTTTTGAAAAATCTGGGCATTTCCTGAAAGACCTTCGAGAGTTGCGTACAATTTTGAGCAGTTCTGTAGGCATTTCGAGTCTTTCAACGTGTATAAGTACCGTGAAGATGTTCCACCGGAGGTTGTTTAGGTACTCCAGCGCCTGTGGCAGTCGCTTGAAGAGCGACCGCAGACGGTAAGGTATCAAACATCAGTCTGAAACACACATCACATGTAGCGCGATAAGCAGCGGGTCACAACCGTCAGTAACGGGTTCATTCACAGAATCTAACGAACCTCAGCGGTGTTGTAGGGAGATCGGTCTCCATGATTATGATTGGACAGTTTCTGACTTCCAGGATGCCTGCGATAAACACTCGACGAGGTCGATGTTCACCCTAACCTGGAGATATTTTAAACTCTTGGGTTTTTTGTCTTAAATCGGTGTAAATTTGACTCATCTTGTTACTGAACAGATACACTTGCTCATAAAGGTTTTCTCTCATTCCAAACAAGAAAGCAGTGGAGTAAGAGCTTCTTCAGTAAAAAGTCTAGACACTGTAGTTGGAATTCCCGAAAAATTTCCCATTTATAACAAAGTGATTTTTGAACAAAATGGTTCGCGCTAGAAACTTACTATGCCAAACTCTTCTCAGATGTTCCTCACTTCTTTGATGAGGATCCGATGAACCAGAGGATGCGACGATTTGTAACGTTGAAAAGATAATGGAGGCAGTGCGAAATATGCGCATGTCACATCCAAAGTAATGCCTCGAAATCAAGGTTCATTCTACGAGAATCTAGAAGAGAGGGAAGAACTCCGATGTTTTGTGTCCTTCAACGCGTACAGCAATATTTCGTGATTTGTATGAGAGACGCTCACCGATTATTCTGACAAAGTGAGGTTTTGAAAGTCCCAGGTGTCTTTCAATGCGCTCAAAGTCACAATTAGTGTCAGCAAAACAAAGAAAATATGGGGTAAAATCAATAACAGCAAGTACTCGCTGAATCGAAAAAAAGAAAAACGATTAAAAACCGCTCAACATAAGTCTTTCTCTTTTTCTCAAGTACGAAACAGGCAGCGAAACATCCAAAATATACTTAGCAGCGCAGGAGATATGAGGGAGCGACTTCCTCGTAGTCGGAGTCGAGAAGGTATATTTGAGTTGCGGACGACAACATCTTTATATAATAAGAGGGATTGTTCGTGGTCTACTGTATGGGTGTTTCCAAATTGCTCTTAGAATAATTAGTGCGAGTTCGGTCGGTTTGAGCAGATTGAACTCCCGTAATCTCGTGAGCTAATACGTGTACCAGCGCGGTTCGAGTTCTCAGACCACTTGGTGGGGATGGTCTGAAATAAATGATCATTCTATTCTCCGAGAAGAAAGCTTAAAATTGCTATTATTGTCACTCATTGAGTGACGTTTTGTTCCTTTTGCGAGTTCTTCCTTCCTTCCGTAAAGAAGATTCCCACATAAAGTTGGAATCTAAGAAGGGAATATATTAGGGGAACATATATGTCAACTTCAATTCCCATACTTTAAACAGGAATTTAAATAAGATTTTTAAATGTCTAGATGTTCCGATTGTAATCTGGGGATTCTCAATTAATCAAACTTTCAGCAGGCTTCTAGAGCCGTAGACAGAAGGAAGATTTTCAACGGGAAAATGGCACGGTTCGCGCTCAACTAGGTCTAAGCTTACCGAAATACATTAGGAGACACTCTATACAGTGGAAAGGGCTCTCATGTGCAGACATGTTTCTAGGGCATGTACCCAATTAAAAAGATGAAGAAATGGAAGCAGTGTTCCCCCCAGAAATTGTAGGCGATAAACGGTAGGCATCTTGAGATCACACGCATGGCAATGACGGACTATTGTATAAGTCGCTGTGAGGGCGAAGGGTCTGTCTTCCGATATGGAGAATATTCTTCAATACCTTATTACCTAGTTGGAAGACAGGTGTTGCTCAGATAGGTGCGGACGAGCATGTTTTATGCAGGTTATATCCACGCGCCGATCCACGCTGCGCCAACTTTTACTCCGGATGGTGGCTGCAGTTACTGTCTTATCTATAGGTACACGAAGAGAGGATAGAGAGAGAGTAGGTTGCGACGAGAGTCACATAATGGCGTAACCTCAGGCCAAATGAAGGTACAATACTCTGCGAGGTTCTTAATGGTTTTTCTCCACTTGATCCATGAAACACCACAACTTGAAATTCTAGCGTGCTTTTCATGGCAAATGTCCTCAAAGGCAGCGATTATGATGAAGAGGGAGCGCATCGGCACCACCCAAAGCAGCTACTTTTCTGCCAGAGAAGCGAGGTGTGTGAGGTTAAGGACGAAAGGTCGCTGCTGCTGAACAAGACTTAGAAGACTCCGCTGAACGTACATACACATAGTTTCATTCGTTGTTTGGGCGGCTGCGCCTGCTGCAGCAGCACTTGGAGCAACTTGATTGAGCGTGTTGCGGATGGCATCAAGGTTGCGGTAAACCGTTCATATATGTTTCTGAGCAGTATACTGTTAATGAGTGAACTGAGCGAGGCAGAAAAGGGTCCGTTGCGTTTTTTTGACGAATCTCGGTTTTTTCGCGGCAGATAGTACCTACTGAACCCGCTCACGTCTCCTCTAACAATAAGCCTTTTAGAACTATGCGTATCGCTGCGGTTCAAAGAACAGGTGCAGGCGGATTTTTACGTTTCGACCACTGTTGATGTGGGAAAACAATGCGATTACTAACCAGCATACTTCGAAATAGTTTCAGCTCTCCTTATAAGCGACTTTCAATAGGTGAGTTTTTTGTCCAGCCACTTCTTGTGTTTTGACTAGGGATACGCGCTGTTCCACCTATTAGTGTTTGAAGGTAAACTAATGAAATGTAGCTTTAGAAGTACTCCCCTGCACCTTTCTGGCTAGTAAGGTTTGTCCATTCTTTAGGGTCACATGGCTCGTTTACTAGTCCGACCTCTGCTCAGATTTCATGGAAATCGGTCGTATTGTACTTTTTTCTTCTTTTTATCTATGCTATGCATCAGATTTCCTTTAGATGATGTATGTGCGTCGTGTGTCAGTGAAAATTCATTTCAATTCAAAATCAAAATAATAGAAACAATTCTTTATTCAGTTTTCTTCATATTTCGTGCTTTCTCTACTTCATTATCCTCACTCTCCAAACGAATGATGCTGCACAATCAAATTGATTGGAGTCCTTGCTGTGAAACACCTAATCACTTGAGCCTGTGAAACATTCTACTCCAAAGTGCCTTCGACCAAGAAATGGTTAGCTGGCAAAAAACCTTCATGAATCAGGAAAAATGGCGAAACCTCCGTCGCACAGAGATGATACCGGCGTTATCTTTTCCACTAAAAGTAACGCCTTTCCGATAGCACGCAACATTCACCGGCATAATTCGCTCTGAAGACATAATTCTGCATATAACTACCTCAAATGATTTCTATCATCGTATTTGTCATCACATTGCTCATATTCGTTTTCATAAGGAACCGATTGATAAAAAAGGTAAGTGATGTTATTCACTGCTCGTTCGCTGCTTGTTACTCTAAACAGTCTTCATCCATATCGAACACTGAATTCCATGCTGCTATTCTTTCCGTAGGTGAAAACATTGGTTGCGGTGGGATGGGGGAGTGGGGTGGGGCTGTTTCCGCCGCGGCGTGGGGATGTCTGCCTCCTCTCAGGAAGATTGCGTAACTTGCACATTGCAGCTTTTCACGCATGTCGAGTGACTCGCCCCCTCCCTCCGCCTTCCTTCCCCTGGAACTGCTTAATTCCCTTTGGTGAACGGGTTCCCCGCTTTGCACTGAAGGGCGCGAACATGACGCGCGCAGTGGTGGCCACTGTTCCACCCCCCCCCCAACTAGGTTAACACCTAGATGTGCTTCCTTGCATTCTTCCACCAATGTCATTTCACGCAATGTTTTGCTTTTCAGCCATCGTACCTCCCGACCTTGAAGGCAGTGGATGATCTCATCTCAGTCTTGTGAGAATGCTATAACTACAAGAAAGGTCTAAAAATATGATGTCCCACGGACTCTTATAATGGGCGGGTTCCAGGCAGGGTCAACCGTGCGTTCGCACTATTCGAACGAGGGGGTCGCATTTGTGGTTGATTTTGGGAAGGGGGGGGTCGCATTCAGGGGTTGAGTGGGATTAGTAATTGGTTGGGTGAAAGGCGAGGCGATTTAGATTGGTTTTTTGAGGGATTTGGTGGGAGGAGAGAAAATTTGCCGTTCCATTACAATAATATTCAGTAATATACCTCCCTCTCGACGGCCGTTTTTGGAGGAAGGAGTGGGCGGAGTTGGACTGTGTCGACTGGTCTCAGAATCATACTATAGAAACAACCATTCTGGCGAGGGTGGTAGTTGGGGTAGGGAGAAGGGTGGCCGTATTAGGGAGCCTCCTAATCTCATGGTGGTGGTGGTGGGGGGGTCGCATCGAGACCCCCCTAAAGGAGGTTGCACGGTTGAACCCTGGTAGCGGGTCCCAACGCAAACCCCTCCTTTCCTCCAAAGGGTACAGTACGCCAATATCCAGCCAATCGCGTCGGGATCTAAAGTTCTGTGTGCTCCTAGGCACTACGCCTCCTTGATTCGGCTAACGAAGCCCCAAATGTTCCCTTCTTGGTGTTCGTTCTTTCCATTTTACCCACAGATGCCATGTATGGGAGACACCACCATTGACCACTACGTTAACTAACTCCGTGGCAGGGAGGGTTCTTCAATTGTCGGACGATCATGCCAGGAAGCCCAACCGGCAAACATTCACCCTGATGACTCATTCCGAATCGACGTGTGTTTCACAACGCACACATCGACGTCGTCGTCGGATGTTTTGCGTTCGTCGTCGTCGCCCCGCCCCTTTTGAGTTTCGCGCCGAGATGGCGATTTGAAATCGACCAATCAGCGTTGTCGCGCACGTTTCGACACGCCGAATTTAGCTGGAAAGGGCGGGGCGAGCAGTCGGCGCCCGTTGTGTCCGCGGCTGCGGCGGCTGGGCGGTGACGGGTGGCCGTCGGCGGTCAGCATCGGCCTGTCTGTGTCCTCCGTTCTGCGCCGGCAGCGGTTTAGAGCGTGGTGGACCGCCAAATCTGCTTATTTAGTAGTCAAAGAGGCCCGCTGATGCCGACTAAACCGCTCACCATCGCTGACTTTTCCCTTTTGTTCAGGCATTGTTTCGACGTGCGAATGGCTATGGCCAATTTTCGATCTTCATCCTTTCGCAGCACTCCTCTCGTAATTCTTCCGGTTGGCGCTGCCATTTGTGTTTACCAAAGAGATTTGTTCCGAGTCTGAGAAGAAAGCTGCACAGCATTAACGTCCGTTTTTCGTTAGCGTTCCTTCGTATTCGGAGTTGAAACTTTCACCATCTCTCTTATTTCCTCTACATTTCTTCTTTTTTGCATCCCTTTGAGTCCTTCGTGTCCATTCACTCATGCTCGCTCCAGTCTTACCGTCTTCTCAATTGTATGTGATCGTGATTCGTTTTCTCATACCAAGGCTTTTCACTTTTATTTAGGCGAAGATGTGTGACGATGATGTAGCTGCTCTCGTGGTAGATAATGGTTCCGGGATGTGCAAAGCCGGCTTCGCTGGTGATGATGCTCCAGAGCTGTCTTTCCCTCGATCGTTGGTCGCCCACGACATCCAAGGTGTCATGGTTGGAATGGGTCAGAAGGATTCCTATGTCGGAGATGAGGCCCAGTCGAAGAGGGGTAAGTTTGAAGTTTTAAGTAAGGTGATCCGTCTGAGAATCAGTCTGCATTTCTTATGTTACAGGTATTTTGACACTTAAATACCCAATTGAACATGGAATTGTGACCAACTGGGATGATATGGAGAAGATTTGGCATCACACCTTCTACAACGAGCTTCGTGTTGCCCCTGAAGAGCACCCTGTTCTCCTTACGGAAGCTCCTCTCAATCCGAAGGCTAACCGGGAGAAAATGACCCAGGTATGCAGGTTTCACAAACATTGATAAACTGGCGCCAAGCTGGAGTTTTGGGATATTTGTTTAGCGCTTATCTAACCGGTGTAGTGAAGGTCAACTATGTTTTGCTTGAAGCCTCTGCTGACATTTGCAAGCATTGTGCACATCATGTAAGCCCTCGTAGTTAGGGTCTATCGCACGATTCAGGAGAGCAATCTCGTTAAGAGGCTGAAGCGGTGCTTATAATCTCCTTTCGGGGATTCCAGTGTTTACTCACATGTCAATACGCAAGCAAATGAGACAGACACCTCAAGGTGTAGCCTACGTTTCCCAATCAGTCTGAAATATAATCGGAAATTCGTAGGTGTTGGGATATTCGATCACAGTCGACTTATCGCTGGACCACAATCGAATGTGATTGAATATGCGCGTACGCCGACACACATTTCTTCGAATAGGGACGCAATGGCCCCCTGTGCATTAGTCATGATTGTGTGAACCAGCAAAGGGTAATCCTTCGGAAAATGAGAAGATGCAAGGTTTAAAAGTGTGGAAATGCACTATTGGTTTATGTCGTTATTTTCTTTTTATTCACTGACATATCAGAACATAGCTGAAGCTATATTTACTCTGATAAGTGAAATAGCGAACTACCAACTTAGTTCCGCCATATTTACTGCCTGAAAACTAGTTGTTTTCCTCATAACAATCGCACTTGGTTGATTGTTAACTATAGCCACCCAGGTGTACTTGTGTGACAAACGATGCATGACTGTGGTGCGTCGATTGTCGTCGCCGCCCAATCAATGTGGCAAACGTTGATCCGATTATATCTATGTGGGGCAGTAGGGAACAAATAAAATCGAGACGACCGAAATCGCCACATCTCGTTGGTTCTGGCACAGTAGTTGTAGAATCACGAATAGTAAGGAACTATCGGGAATGGTGCGACAATCCAAATACAAGCATTTAGAAATTTTCTTGGTTAAAAAATATGGAAGCGGCACACAGCGACATATTTGATTTTTTCTTTGTTTACAGATCATGTTCGAAACTTTCAACACACCGGCCATGTATGTAGCTATTCAAGCCGTGTTGTCATTGTATGCGTCAGGTCGCACGACTGGTATCGTCCTTGATACTGGGGATGGAGTCACCCACACTGTACCTATCTACGAGGTATTCACTCTTTTTTGCAGAACTCACTTTTTCATACCAGTTATTGTTGCCGCTCGAAACTGTTCCTTCTTCAAAAAAGTACAAGAATAGAAAGTCAAAGCAGAAACCTTCAGGGTTATGCTTTACCGCACGCAATTCTGCGTTTGGACTTGGCGGGTCGTGATCTCACTGACTACATGATGAAAATACTGACCGAGAGAGGATATTCCTTCACAACCACTGCCGAGAGGGAAATCGTGAGAGATATCAAGGTTAGTTCACTTTGTTTGTGAAATCACTGCACCGAATATCTGAGTCGCGATTTTAAGGAGAAACTTTGTTATGTTGCGCTCGACTTTGAACAAGAAATGGCTACCGCTGCATCGTCGTCATCGCTTGAGAAGAGTTATGAGCTTCCTGATGGACAGGTATGTTAATATCGCTCTCTATGTTTCGCTAGACTAAAATCATACTTAACAACCTTCTTTCAGGTTATCACCATTGGTAATGAGCGGTTCCGATGTCCGGAGGCGTTGTTCCAACCGTCGTTCCTCGGAATGGAGTCAACTGGAATCCATGAAACCACTTACAACTCCATTATGAAGTGCGACGTCGATATCCGAAAGGTATAAAATGAATTCAACTTGCTATCACATCTGATTTCGGCAACTTAGATGTTTTTTGAACTTTTTATTCAGGACTTGTACGCCAATACCGTTCTCTCTGGTGGTACATCGATGTTCCCTGGAATCGCGGATCGAATGCAAAAAGAGATAACAAACCTCGCACCAAGGTTTGTAAGGCAAACACTTGTCTTTTCATTTGTTTAGTCTTCTGAGGTTATGTGGTTTGATCTAACGGCTCAAAGAGTTTAATGTTCAAGCATGCATCTTTTAATGCTAACCTTATTCATTCGGGTTTAGTTTAGCGTGTTATGGAATCGGGATTAGTTTGGATGCTTTTTCAACCAAGTTTTTTTTTCAGCACCATGAAGATCAAGATTATTGCACCACCTGAGCGCAAATACTCTGTATGGATTGGAGGATCTATTCTCGCTTCCCTGTCGACGTTCCAACAGATGTGGATTTCCAAGCAAGAGTACGATGAATCTGGGCCGTCTATTGTTCACCGCAAGTCGTAATCTAAAGAATCGCCCGTCGGTTTCTCAGAGTCGCGCGCGCGTTTTGTTTGTTCTTGTCTTTTCAACAGTGCAAATACAGCTCATCTTCCTCTAGTTCTCCAATTCCAAACCATTCAACCCGTGGTAAGGTTAGCGCATATGACACTTTTTTGCTTGACGGCATAATTTATGACTTCATTCTCTTTGTAGCCTGATGACTTGTGAATTTCTCTTCTTGTGTTGTTTATAGCTCCAAGTTTGTTTCTTCTCATTCCGAAGATCTATTAATAAATATGAAAACTCTAAAACGTTGTGAGAGTGTGCTAATTCAAGGCTAGTAAAAGGTCTCTTACGGTGGCAGAGTCCAAGTAATGTTTTTCTTGCAGGCAGCCCGTTGTTTACGATCGGCGCTGTTTTCCAAGCTTCAGATGAAATCTATTGGTCTCTAAACATGACGGGGCTACTCGGTGTCCACGCACTGGCGAATCGATCCACCACGTTCCTTTCTTCGATGCATTCCATTTTCGGATTGAGCCTTTTGCTGAGAAATGCGCTTCTGCTTTGCTGCCATTTGAGGGGCCGTTGTGTGAAATTTCGCTCTGTGAGTTTTCAAGTGCCCACTAGAATAATCTCGCAGTGGTATTTCTCGGAACAATTTACGTGACCGTAACTAGGCATGGTTCTTAGAGTGCATCTTTTACTGATCAAAAATGCCATACGAGTTCTCGTTCTAAACGCTATGCGTGTGCGTTCTCCATTAGGCGGTCACTATTGGAAGTATCGTTATGAGTAGCAGTCTATTATCGCCCGCAGCCAAGGCGTAGCCATGCTTTTCAAAAATGCGGCTTCAGATTGTTTAGGTTTTCCAGTTTTTGTACCAGCTGAGCGTTTTTGAGTTCTGAGATGGTGCTTACAAGCGCGGTGCAAGCCGCGTTTAACGGTTCCTTCCATTTTGTAGAGACGCATGTATGACACATACCATGTTTTCGTTCGATGCACGGTTTCAGTAGCAATCAAAAAATGGGTACAATGATACCCGTTGTGTTGGTCCCGGGCGACTAGATTTTTTGCAATCAAGTGGCAGCCATTTGTTGCTTCAATGGGTCTACGATGAATGCTCTGATTTTGGACATTTAGCCAATGGTCAGATTTGCGAATCGCGCGATCGCTACTAGCGATTCGCGCGATCGCTAGCGTCCGGTCAGTTGCGTACTAGCCCACTGAGTGGTTCGGTGGGTGCCCAACTCGCTAGCGCACTTAAATGCAGATCAAGTGCCACGGAGGATGAACATTGACATAGTTTGTGCTCTATTTTGAAAACTGTTAAAACTCTTTCGCGAATGAAACACGGATCTTATGTTCTAAATGCCCTACATATGCACAAAACGTTTTGAAAAATGCCGCCTGAAAGACCCCCCACTTGTAGGTGGAGGCAGAAATCCAGTTGAACACATATGTGTGTTTGTTATTGTCGAAAATATGCGCTTCTCTAGGGTGGGGTAGGCTGGGGTGGGGTTAATGCTGCTGCAATAAAGCATTTTGATAGAATCTTATCCAGATTAACTCATCATTCCATCAGCGACGATTCATTGCCACAATTGTTAGGTTAATCAATTTTCCCGCCGCGCCAGGATTGCGACGATGCATGCCACACCCATTGCATTTATTTTTTTTCGCAAATTGCGGCCTTTTCCCAGTTTGTCCTTTTTGTGTTCATTCTAAGGCCATAACATCAATCAATAACTCAAAACTAGTGGCTCGTCGACCATTACAAAATTTCCGTTCCGTTCATTCTCTTTTTTCTCATAACTCGAATACATAGATGAAAAAGGGTAATAGAGGTGAATACAAACCCAGTCGCGTTGTAATACATATGTTTTCACTGAAACAACTAAATAATTTCAAAATAATTCCGGAACCACTAAAGCAAAAGTGAGAAAATTTTGCCTTCTCGTGACCATAACGCGTTATTTTGATAGGGCTTCCATTACTGTAGCTCCCGATAAAGTGAACATATTGAACATCAATGAACATTCTGTCGTATATAATTTTTGCGTACTTACAGTTCAAAATCCACGATTTTGAGGTGACGCGAAAGGCTCACATGAGAATCGGCCCGGTCCCAAGCGGCATAAAACAAAACCGCGAATGTCGTCAACGGTGTTAATATTTTTACAGTCCTTTTAGAGTGATTTTCGGATGGCCGAGTCTTCCAATCGCGAGCTTTGAACACTATTTTGTTTATTACACAGATAATTCTGTGTGTAAGTTTCAGAAAAAAAGAACGAACCAAACAACAGAACGTAGCAGAACAACGTGCGAAATAACATGAACAGTGGAAACATCGTAACACAGCGTATAAACGAGAAGCAAAGACTATGATGTAAGATGCTTGTCCAAAGCGGCTTTGAACGAATTGAATTTGTTGGTAGATACCCCCATTCTGACCAGCCTCTCGAACTCCAGAGAGGTCCTGTTAACGAAGAAATGGTGCCTGACGTTGCGTTTAGCCCTGCGAGTCACTACTTTCATTGAACTACCCCTCGTCCTTGACTCCCGGAATGCAAACAAGGTGTTGGGCCTGAGACCAGTTTTAAAATGAGGATCTTAAAAAATGTCAAAAGGTCGAATTTTTTCCTCCTAAGCGCAAGTGACTCAAGACCGAGGTTGAGATTACGTACATCACTGTTGGTATATTATATTGTCATACCTGAACCCAACAGTTCTCATAAAAACCTTTCTAGTGAAACTATTTTGAACTTTTTCCAGAGCTTTCACAGTTTTTATCTTGTGAGGATTAAAAACTACAGTTCCATACTCTAGTATGGGTCTGATATAGATTTTATAAGCACTGCATAGAACACGTGGGTCTTTCGTCAAGAAAGATCGAAATAAATTATACATTACAATCGTTGCTTTGGAGGCGATTATAGAGCAATGTTCTTCAAAACTGAGATCACTTCTTAAGAGGAAACCAAGGTCTTTCATTTCCTTCACCACCTCCAGGTGAACCCCTCCGATTGAGTATGAACAATCCACAGGGATTTTCCCAATCCGTAACACCTTGGTCTTCTCCTTAGATAAGGGCAATTCCCATTGCATAGCCCAATTACTGACATCATTTATAGCTCCCTGTAGCAACTCTTTATCATGAGCGGATGAAATCGGGTAGTATAATTTGAAGTCGTCTGCAAAGGCCACACATTTAACCCTTTAGAACTGACCAAACGAGGTAACTCAAAAGTGTAGATATTAAAGAGGACAGGTGATAGGACACACCCTTGTGGCACTCCGCTATGTACTGGTCTGGGTTTGGAAAATTCGCCATTGACTCGTACAGAGTAGGACCTGCTAGTAAGAAAGGCCTTAATCCACGCCACAATCCTGGGGTGAATGCCTACATGGATCAGTTTGGCTACCATCCTGGTATGAGAAACCCTATCAAACGCCTTAGCGAAGAACAAAATCCGCTCCTAGCCCTCATCGAGATAACATGTCCAGTCATTAAGCGCCTGTAGCATGGCCGTCGCAGTAGACTTACCTTTTTGGAAGCCATGCTGCTGCTCGGAAATGACATCGTACTTCTCCAAATGGCTTACAATTCTCTTTTTCAAACCTTCTCAAAACCTAGGCAAAGATGGAAGTTATGCTCACAGGTCTGTAATTTGAAGGGCAAGAATGTGGAGCCTTTTTGGGAATGGGGGTGACAAACGACATACGCCAACGCTCTGGTACTTCAGCCTTCATGAAGCTCAAGTTGAAGATAAACGCCAGTGGTCCCGAAATGGTGAATGCTATTTTTTTGATGAACACCAGCGGAATATGATCAGGTGTATCCGAACGAGATTTAGGCCACCTAGCCAGTAACTTGTGTATTTCTTCTCGTTGAAACCAAAGGGAATCGCTCATAACAGGAAATGAGGGACTAGCTCCACTTCGGCGAGATCAACCCCCTTTTGATATCCCGTCGACCACCACTTAACTCCATTGAGGAGGTGGTTGCCATAACACATTTAGCTTCAACCTTTCTCTTTCTCTGATGAGGGTACCTTTCAAGCTCTACTTTTCTCCACCAATCCGCATAACCAGATCGAAAACTGGATGCACCGACAACCACGATGTTTGCATGGTCTACCAGTCAGTTCTAATAAAGGGTTGATAAATTGGGGTAATCAGTGGAACAATATCGCACAGTACCATCGAATCAAACTGATTAGGCATTAGGCTGACATTAATGTGTAACCCCTAAAGTGAAAGGTCATATGCATACCTTGGAAATGACAACGAGTGGTAGGTGCCCAGATCGAACTATTAAAAATCTTTACCGCAAGCATGATAATCAGTTTTCGAGCTCAAAAGGTTGACCTCCATGAAGATAAACCGTCACAGGATGGCTAATGCAGCAGAATAGACGATCGTGTGCAGCAACCGTTACCGTTGTATAGAGCATGCCGGGCTAACGCAGCAGCTCGCTAAATAATAAGATGGATACATAATGAAAATCTCAACTAGGGGTATCTAAGAAAAGAATGCAAGTTATTTGCTTTCTCTGGGATCTGTTTCTTACTCAATAAATGGATCGAGAAGCTCTAAGTCATCCAGTCCTGCGGAGAAATGAAGTACTGTGGTTTTCGAGCTGAAAACTCCTTTGTTTGCAATGCATAGGTGCTCGATGTGTACAATTTGAATAGGCTTGGAATTTTGGATAGGGTATGCAACTATTCATCAGGGACAAGTGCGCTTATTATGGCTTTGTAATTATTGTGTTCTGCAGATTAATTCCATGCCTTGTTACCACCCACAACGTTCCCCATCCTCTCATCCCATAGTTTTGGCATCTACAGAATATTATTTGAAATAGTATTTATACCAGTGTAACGGAGGTACACACTGTATATTATTTATACAAATAAGACAAAAAGTTTTGACCAAGAACTTGTTTATGTTTCAAAGACTCACACATTCATTAGAAAAGGATGTCAAGTCAAGATGTAGTCCCCACCATGGTCCATAATATACGT